GGGCACAGTCTCCCCAATGCTGTTTACCGCGTGCTTACAGGAGATTTTCAGAAGCCTAGAATGGGAACAGTTAGGGATAAGAGTTAATGGAAAGTACCTTAGTAACCTGCGCTTCGCCGATGACATTGCATTGCTGAGTAACTCAGGGGACGAATTGCAACTCATGATTACGAGTTAGACTTGGAGAGCAGAAAAGTGGGTCTTAAAATTAATCTGCAGAAAACTAAAGTAATGTACAACAACCCAGGAAGAGAGCAGCGCTTCGAGATAGGTAATAGTGCACTTCAAGTTGTAAAATACAATGTCTACTTAGGGCAGGTAATAACCGCGGAGCCGTACCATGAGATTGAAGTAACTAGAAGAATAACAATGGGGTAGAGCACATTTGGCAAGCACTCTCAAATTATGACAGGTAGATTGCCACTATCCCCCAAGAGGAAGGTATATAACAGCTGTATCTTGCCGTTACTTAGCTATGGAGCAGAAACCTGGAGACTCACAAAGAGGGTTCAGCTAAAATTGAGGACGACGCAGCGAGCAATGGAAAGAAAAATGGTAGGTGTAACCTTAAGAGACAAGAAGAGAGCAGAGTGGATTAGGGAACAAACGGGGGTTAAGGATATCATAGTTGAAATGAAGAAGAGTAAATGGACATGGGCCGAGCATGTAGCGCGTAGACAGGATAACCGCTGGTCATTAAGGGTAACTAACTGGATTACCAGAGAAGGCAAGCGGGTTAGGGGGAGACAGAAAATTAGGTGGGCAGATGAGATTAAGAAGTTTGTGGGTATAAATTGGCAGCAGCAAACGCAGGACCGGGTTAACTGGCGGAACATGAGAGAGGCCTTTGTCCCACAGTGGACGTAGTCAGGCTGCTGCTGATGATGATGTTCAATCGTTATTTCATAAACGTGAGTAAGTGAGAGGGACAGAGAGAGTGTTTGTTTGTATATGTGCGTATACGCGAGTGTTTACACTTTAGCAAAACGACGCCGGGTTCAGTCTGCGAGAAGCAGCTTTCGTCATGTTGTTACGACGGCAACAGTTGGCCGATCATAGGTGAAAGACGCCGTCCGCGTTTGTGATCCTTGTTTTTTGTCGGCCGATTTCCGTCGCCTCGTGCGACATACAAGGCCCGAGCGATACGGCGCTGGCCATATTTGTGCGTGCAATTTTCTCGCTTTTTGCAAACCTGGATGAGTGTCGTCATCTGGTGCATTTTTCGAACTATTTTCAAGATGAAGGGAGTGGAATTGCCACCTTAATACAAAACATTCAGGCAGTAAAAAATCGCCCTTCTCGCCTTATTGCACGTATTTAGAATCGCAAGGCTACAGTGTCCCATACATGAAAGCTGTTCTTAATCTTCCTTCTGAAAGCAGTCACGCATTTGTCTTTTTCACAGAATGCACTAACATTAGCCCCACTTCATTTCTTGTTCGTACACCCAGATTCATTTCGCTCACACTGACTTGATAAGCATGATAAGGTTAACATACCATGTTTCTCAACTACTGCAGGCTCTAACTCATTTGTTTCTAGGAAAGCAGGAGATTGGAACCTGCTTCATAACGCTTCATTTACTTGCTTCATTTACCTGCTTTGTCAACGGATTACCGATACAACTGTATTTAAAAATGTTCTATCAAGCCTACTGTAACATTACAGGTTTGTTTCTTCTACATTTCTTGTAACTACTTCGCTAGATGTTGTCTAATGTCATTTACAAAATTTTTGTAATTTTGTATAGTTCTTACATTTTACTGCCATTGTTATGCTTTTTTCTCTCTTTTTTAGCTATGTACACCTCACCCCTTATGTAATGTATTTATTATACCCTGATGGTGCTATAAACAAGCAAATAAATAAATAGATAAATATTGAATAAAATGTCCTCAGCTCAACATTACACAGCCCAATATACACATCCCCGCTGTAAAATTTTTGCAGGCAATCTAGGCTGATATGAAAGCCATGTAAACGCGCGTACCATATTATTGGCGCTGTTGGTTATTAATGTGTAAAGGATGATGACGCAGTGAAGCGTTTCAGTTTGGCCAACGCTGATCTCACTTCAGTCAGTGGCGCAGCCAGAGGGTGGCAAACCGGGCCCTGCGCCCCAGAGGCAGCGCCAAGATTATTTTACCGGGGGGCGGAGGGGCACCCATGATAAGCGAGTTCCTTCAGGAGGGGGGGGGGAAGGGAGGCGGGGAACTTAGCTATTTTGTTATAACTGTGTTCCCTCTTGTGGGGGGGAGGTGAACATTATGGGGAACTACAGCCCCCCCCCCCCCCCCGTGCCCACCCCCGAAATTGTTTTCGCCGTAGCTTATACAGAAAGAAAAATTACCAGAAGGTGCCCTCCCCGCCCTCCCTTACCCTCCCACCTGAAGCGAATTTTTTCCGGTGCCCCTGACTTTGGTGGCTTATCATGAGAGGTGTCTTAGTGGGGTGGAGGGAGGGGATTCAATTTAGCCTACTCTTTGATTTGTTTTATCTTTCAATTTTAAGGTTGTTTCTACGCGCATGCATGTAAACACACGCACGAAAATGATTAAAAGGGACAGGACAACCCTCACGCACCCCCTCCACGCAAAATCTTTTTTCCACGCGAAACATTTCCCGATTTCTAAGCAAATTTTGTACCCACCCCTGCAATGTCTCGCAATGAGACGGCAGGGTATGTAAATAAAAAATAAAAAATAATGCTTGTGGCAAAACCACTGTGTCTCTATATACTATTTCGTGCAGTGCATGCACGAGGTATAGAGCACGCGCAGTAAATGACATTTTTATCAAGTTGCTTTCAACTTCATTTATTCATAATAGTTCTTGAATTAATATAAGTCGTCAGTAAGTCAGCGCTCTGTCGTTTACGTAGGCACAATTAATAATGCAGAAGGCGCCAGCGTTCTCCAGCGCTGTCCCGTGGAGCGCTAGCGCGCTGTACGTCATGCCAGGCCCGCGTCTGAGGTCGATTAACGGCTTCATTCACGAACGAATACGGCGAGCCATCACCGATGCGTGGGGCCTTGTTTCCCGATTCTCGAAGCTTCTACTCGTTTGACTTACTGTGTGAGATCTAAAGAGGTTACTGCGTATAACCAGAGTGGCGGTGCCTTCTGGCCACCAACTGCTCGTGGCACATGTCCCGTTGCCGGTATTTACTAAAGTATGTGGAGCTCATATACTGTTCCAGACGTTTGCCATAGTGCACATGACGGCGCAGTTTCACGTGGATCGAGTAATAAGCACGAAATAAATGGCAATAAGCATATGTTTGTGTTCTGGTCAGGGGCTAGAAAGTGTCCTTCATGACTCGAATCCGTGCCATACACTCAATTTCACTAGTCTACAAGGAATAAACATCACTCGCGTCTCCAAGTTCTCAAAGATGACTAGTAGATGCTGGAAGTATGCCCACAGCCAGCACCAGAGGTGACGGTTATACCCGCCGGAGCGGGATCAAATAAAGGGGGGGGGGGGGGGCAGGGCATGGGAGATGGGAGAAAACAACGTTCTTTAAAAGTCTTGTGTGATGACGACAAAGACTAGGAAAGAACAAGTGGAGAATGTGACACTCGGTAGCTCAGACAAATTTTTTCTGGGGGGGAGGGAGGAGTTCAACTACACTCTACGTATGTTCCCCGTGGTGGCACTTCATTTCTACGTGTTCATACTCGAAGGGTCACAAGCATAGGCGTGCGCAGGGTTCCCGTTCAGAGGGAAGGGGGGGGGGGGGGGGGAGGCTCGTCGCAGCACCTTCCTTCTCTACTAAGTTGCTTGACGGTGGCCAGGCAGCTTTTCTTTCCCTGGTCTCCCGCAAGATTTTGTTATAAATATATCAATAATTGAAATGAAAGTCAGTGTATGGGCAGACTTTGCATTCCCTTCTCAAGTGACTTGGGGGAAGGGGGAGGGGTGACCACCCCCGCCCCAGACCTTCTCCTGTGCAACCCTATATATGGTTGCTGCCGGTGTGCCGTCAGGTGGGATTTCACTACTCCCTTCTCTGGAATTCAACGACAAATAAATATATACAATATAGGGTTCGGTTTCAAAATAAACTTGCTGGTTTATTAATTAAGCAATTAAACAACTTTGCTATTACACCTTCTACTTCTCAGAACCGAAAAAATTACCAAGCGATACCTCACAGTGCCCCCTTAGGGACTTTTGTAGGGTGAAAGAGAGTTGACAATAAGCATTTCTAAGTAAAAGTTTTTACTGAAAACCTTTGTTGCTGTTCGTGATTGGTTCTCTCATCATCTGTGTACACTTTGGCGAAGCAATAAATCATCGTGAGATTCGGTGCTTTCCGGAGTCATCTAGCTTCGTTTGCCTTATACAGAATACATACGTATATGATGCATCGCCTTACTCTCATCTCGATCAGCTGTCTAATGTAAGCGCTGATGAAATGTTGATAAATACCATTGCATTTCGACCTTATCGTGTGCATGACGCGTTTGTTTCTTTCTTGTTCTGTTGTTGGTGGCGGTGGTCTTCCTGTTTTTTTGTTTTTTTTTGTATTGTAAGCGGGCTCTCCTGGCGATCAGTCGTCAAGAAATCTTTAGTTTTATACTCCAATACTCCCACCACTGGATAGCTTCGCGTAAGTCATGTGGCAATTACTTTATGTCTCACCCGCCTATACTGCGCTTGGAAGTTGGTACTTTATCGAGCTACTGAGCGTTCATTCGATCGAGGACGCGGAAGCAAGTTTTTAAAGAGTCCAGATACGTAAAACTCTCGTGCGTATTGGATTAGGGCTGCGCTACGGGTGCTCCACATGACCGAATGTGTCGATCGACGTGCCCAAGGAAGACGAAACGTAAATAGCCCCTCGAAGCAGCTCCGTTTACGCACGAGACATAGCGCCGTGCTTCTCCACTGTTAGCGACGAGAATTTAAGGCAGCGCCTGTATCATCCGTCTTGTCCTCCGCGATAACAATCGACCGGAACGTTTAACGCGCGCCTCTCAGTCAGGCTCGTGCTGCATAGAGCACCGGTCGTCGTCGGCTACTCCGCTTGCTACTCTTCGGGAATCGAAGTCCACGATCGAGACCCCAAGGAGCGTAACTCGAGAGCAGCGTGACGCCTAAGAAGGTCGCACCATAGACCAGCGACCCGGCCGGAGGCCAATAACACCCGGTGGAGGACGGAGGTCATAGTGTCCGGGACTCCAGGCGGGACGAGAGCGGACACTAAACGGCCGCTTCACGGACGACGAAGGAGCAAAGGTCGAGCGGTTGAGAAGGTATAGGAGAGAGAGTTGCACAAGGTGGAAACGGCAAGATGCACGAGTTCTACCCTAGAGACTACTCGGACCACGACTCGGATGTCGACGAATCATTCCCAGTGTACTTACTCAGCCGCCATTGGAAAGAGGAGCTGGCACTGGACAAGCCCGAGAACAAAGCCGCCAAGAGGGCACATCGCACGCTGAGACCTGCGCGCAGGTCCTCTGGCTTACACGTCTTGAATCCGGTGAGTGAACAATACACACTTTAATTGACTACTCCCACGTAACAGTCCATTCTGGAAGTGTTCCACCTCTTCGTTGGAAAGGCCTATACTGTGTAATAGTATCGTATCTTTCGTCTGAAAGTTATGATATGATTATTAGAGACGTTGTAGTGCACAGGGCTCCGAAAATCTCTTTGTGTACTCTAACGTGTGCCGAAATCTGAGCATACGGGTCTCCAGCATTCTGCGTACATCAAAATGCCGGGATTCGATACAGCGACCGTTGGACCAGCGTTCAAGCACCAGAACTACACACTCGGGGACAGCTTTCTGAGGTATTGATGGGAAGGCTACGGAACCAAAGTGGGAGTGTGCCACCGCTGAAGAATATAGTCCCACAAATGCGTCTGTTTTCCGCGTGAAAATCATAACAAACAACATTATTTTCTACAGTATAATTTCTACAGTTTTCTACAGTATAATTTCTACAGTATTTCTACAGTTTTCTACACTGAACGAATCAAGGAGATATTAATATTTGTTTTGCTTAATGAAGCGCAATTTCATATTTGCACGTCTGAAAACGTTGAACGTTTTAGGTGCACCTCATAGTAGAAATGGCGTCTTCACCTTAGATGAACGCGCGTCTCCCTCCAGCTATTCCGACGCCTCGCCGAAGAAGCTTGTGTCGAATTTCACTCATAAATGGCCGTGTAAGCAGACGTAGCAATTCTATGATGTGGCATCATTTGAACTCGGCCGTCATTCGAAAAAGCGAGTCTAGCAGGACTACTTCGCGGAGAAGTACATGTGCAGAAGCTCCACCCCCGTGGCTTTCCCTTCATTGCCACAAAGAATTGTCCCCGAGTATGCTAGACCACCACGGCGGGTGAAACACATCTTGAAACACACAACTTGGTGTTCGTGCATCTTGCTCCTGCTTCTCTTAGTTTTATCTATAAAAAAAGGTAGATAAGGTTGCCATAAAACGTAATGTATAGCATTCCATGAAAAACGTATACTCCAACGCAGGTTTGGCAAGAGTCACCAAAATAGACAGAGAGGGGGATAAAAAAATTTAAAAAAAGGAGCTTTATTAGCTGCCATGTCGGTTCCTATCGAAGCTTCTTGTGGTTGGACCCCTGTGTGTAATGTTCCTGTGGCATAAGATAGCCTGTCACTTAACGAATGTATTGGTGTAGCCTCCGTTTCTGTCACATAACGTAGAGCGAATACGTATACAGTATAGAAAAATGTAATGGTGGACGCGTAGGTGAGTTGAACGTATAGGCCTAGTTCAATACAGCATTCACGCATGTTTGAGCCTCACCACATTGCGCGATATATTTGTGCGCTACTGGTTTAAACTCGTGCTTGGTGCAAAACACATACAACACAAAGCACACTACATACGCTGCTAAAATTTCCACCAATCGTAGCAGTCGTGCGCAGCGAGGAAAATTTACAAGCCGAGCGCGACGTTGCCGTTTTCTCAAGCACCCTTTCATCATGCTGAGGCTTGTGCTCATCCTCTCCCGAGCTGCCGCCTCCTGCTGCATCGCGTCATACAGAGGGTTTTCCCTATTGGTAGATGTATGACATAAACCAAGAGCGGCATTAGATGCGCTTCTTGAACCGGGTGCCGACGAGTACCGGCACCACGCTCCAGACAGCGCTGAAATTACAATTACTCAGTGCCAACACTATCGCGTCGCAGAATCGCACGGGTTGGAGGGAGGGGAGGGGGTTAGTAATTGCGTTTCATGACGCTTGATCAAGGTCATGAAGTGAGCCATGGCGTAGCTTTTTGCCCCTTCTGTTAGTTCCCCTCTGTAGCTTATAGTGCGCTCGTCTTGAAAGGAGAGAGAAAGCACTTAAATCGACGCGTGACGAATCCCCGTGACTCTGCTCGCTCGTGGCGTATTGTAATGGAATAAAAAAACATATTTTTGTCCTGCAAGACGCACATTGCGCGTAGCGGAAGTCTCCCACGTAGGGACCGACAGCGAATACCTGGCAGCCGCCTCCGATGATGGGCCTGCTGTTGTATTAGATTTTTTTTTTTCGTCGATCAGTTGTTCAGACAATAAGCTTCCATACTGAGGTCTTGTGATGTTTTCTTAAAGTAATCCAGGATTCATTTAATGAAGCTTGCAGAATGAGATTTGGGTTGTGAGGTTCAGCATGTAGGCACGTGAGGCCTATGGCTCCCTGCATTCCATGGAGGATCTCTGAGACGGACTACGGGAAATTTTAGGGTTTAAAAGCTAAGATTGATGCCGCGGTAATTATGAGAAAACACTGGCCGAAAAGGGTCGAGTTAATTATACTGAATATGTGTGAAATCATAATAGTATAGCTACTTAGTGTTCGTTGTCAGTTTTTGTTCCCTCGAATACCTGTTGAAAACCTGACAGTTACACATTGACTGACTAATTTCGAGCTACATGAACTGCCCAGAATAGCTATAGTCATAACGACTCAAGTTCGGTCAGGAAAATATGGCATGCGTGTAATGGCTCTTTGTTTCTTTTTTCAGAACCCGAAGTTCAATGACACCTTGGAGACTCGCGTCATTGACGCCAACTTGTTCCTCGAAGTTAGACTCCTGTACAGACCGGGCGGGTAAGGGTCGAGTTGAATGTTCATTTTTCCGTATTCGTAAATAAAACACGACGGGATTCACACCCGCGTTACTGCTCGCAGCACTTAATATAAAACCACGGCGTAAAACAACGGTATACGCTTATCGTGCCGTTATGTAAACGTATGACATAAAGCAATCAGTGCGAACAAATCGACAGCGAGTGCCGGTAAGCTGTATAGGCAAACTGAGGTCATCTACGTCATTTCCGTAATAGTCGCGTACACATAGAGATATGGTCCCATCTGATAGTGGAGGTGTGGGCACTGGAAAGTATAGGTGTGGGCACTGGAAAGTATAGGTGTGGGCACAGGGAGTGGGGTCGCCCCCCTCCCGCTTTCGTCACCTAAGAAGGGGGCACGCAAAGTCTGCCCATACATGACTTAATAGAAAGGAAAAAGGGGACGCTGCGGTAAACCTTAGAGTTACTGTACAAAGGTAGCATATACAGTAACTCTAGTAAACCTTTGCCCCCCTGCTGGGAGCGAATACGTTCGCGGTCAGGAGCTCACATAGTGGCACACATAGTGCGACTGAGTCGCTTGACGAGGCATTTACTAAGAATATTTACGAAAATAGTGGCCTATATATATATATATATATATATATATATATATATATATATATATATATATATATATATATATATATATATATATATATATATATATATATATATATATATATATATACACTCTTCTCGTTACAGCTCAAACAAAGTTTGGAATTCTAAGCAATCCATGCCACAAAACATTCTAAGTTACTTTGCATTAAAATCATGACTTATCTTCAAACCACTTGAGTAATGAAACAACGAGCGATGGCAAACACCTTTGATACTCGCATTTCTTAGGAACGATACACGTTCTGCAGAGAAGGCAATGTGCATACAGCGAGATTTAAGGCCGCAACATGTGCTGCTTTTTCGGATTGTTGCCAGGCATCATTTTTTTTGTCCCCTGGGTGCATGCGTGTGTTCGTGCGTGTGATTTTGTGTGCGTGCACACCTGAAGTTTTCCAGGCGTATAGCGTTTAAGCAGATTATACGCGTATGGTACGTACGCACGTAAGCACTAAGTTATGCTACATTTGCCGCAGGTCACAGATAATATTCACAAAAAAAGATAAGAAGGTGCTTACGCTGCAATTCAAGGACTACAACGCCAAGAAAGACGCAGATCGGTACGACCAGCCGGAGCCCGACTTAGCCCTCGTAATCAAGTACCTCACCGGTTACGACAAGCCAGAGGAGCAGGAGGTGGATCGTAAAGTATTCAAGCCAGAGGAGAACCACACCTATGCCATCCACATAAGACAGAGGGGCTCCAGTATTAAGGCACGACGTATTTTATTTACTGCTACCGTCAAATGCATGAATATCGAAGTGCTAGGGACGTTCAAAACCCATTTTTGTGCTTGTGACGTTCGAAATTATATTTGTTCGTAATCCAGACACACGAACAGACAAGAGTACAAGAATGCTCGGGCGGTTGTCCTGATTTCCGAGTTATATTAACTGGTTTTCCGGACAAAAATTAGCTTTGTCGCAGTATCTATTAGGCAGAATGTTTTCGCTGAAGGAAACCAACAGACAACGAACCCAAGGAATGTACGAGGGGCCAAATGTGTAGTCTTTGAACTGTAGGAAAGTAATCGTTATGTAAATGTAAGGAAATTAAAGTAGGCGAAAAGACAACTTTCACTTCTTTACATTTCTATAATAATTACGAAACATCAGTTAAAAAGGTTACAGAAATACTATGCCCTCTCTCAGCTTGATTAGGTTGTATCTAAGAAGAAAAAACGAGTGCTAAGTCCGTTCTCCTTCTTACTTAGGAAGAAATACATGGGGAGCACAAAGAAAAGAGAGTTGATACCTTGACGAAGACGCATGCCCCTTTAATTCAAATAAAATAACGCAGGATCCAGAGGCCGTAATTCCATTTTCGACGAGTCATCATCGCCCCCAAACCTCAATTTTCTCAATTCCTGTTCTTTTAGACGTGTAATACATTCGGTGACATATGTGTAATATATTCATTGTGCTCAGTAATAGAACACCAGGTCAATTTTATCAGGATGTGTTCGCACTTATCATTTATTTATTTATTTATTTATTTATTTATTTATTTATTTATTTATTTATTTATTTATTTATTTATTTATTTTTACACGGCACTGCCAGCCTACAGCTAAAGCTGTAAACAGGAATAAGAGTAACAAGTACAAAATCAAGTGAACCAATCAAGCACAAGGATTGTGTCGCAAGGACAAGGAAAAATAAAGGCAAGCAAAGGGCGCTTCAGAACAATATTCAAACCACATCCGCAGTCCCTCAAGCTCTGACACGCGCAAACCAGCCGCAGAATGACAAAACAGTACCTCTCACGTAAAAAAAAAGTAAATAAATAAGAATAATAAAAAGGCGCTTAAAAATAGTCTTCGAAACAATAATAGTCGTGAATGACTGTGAAAACAATTACAGCTGAAAAATTCGTACAAAAGAGTCAGAATCCGGACATTCTACAACATCGGCTGGGAGGCGATTCCACTCTCAAATTGGTTTCGGGTAAAAAGTTTTGCAAAAGTTTCAGCGCGGCAAGAACATTCCTTTATTTGTTTTTTATTATGGTGTGACCAGATGACTTGCTTGGACACTGGTTCTATGTACATTTCTTAGCGAATACCAAGTTTACCATGAAATATCAGGTGCATGAATTCCGATTGGTCACGTTGGAATCTTTTTTGAAGACATTCCAGACATGCTTTCTTTTCCAAGGCACTCTTTGAGGTGTGCCAACTATAAGAACAATATACAAAGCTAGCCACTTTTTTTTAATTCCACTTTTTTATATTGCCTTGAGTATAAGGGTCTCAAACTATTGATGCATATTCTATTAAAGGATGAAGTAGTATTTTATATGCTATTAGTTTAGCCTCGTGTGTAATTCGTGCTAAATTTCTTTTTTAATAACCAAGTTTTTGCATCCTCCTTCCATCTCTGATCCTACGTTACTGTATTTATTTATATCTGTTATTGGCAGCGAGAGAGCTGCCACCCATGTAATATGAAAAATGTAATGGTGGTCGTTTTTGTGTCACAGTCATATCGACTGATATTTTAGCGTTTGTTTTCTTTGCCAATCCTTACACCAAACCGCAATTTGTGCTAAGGCATTGTTCAGCAGAGCCTGATCACTGGGATTCTGGATGTGGTGGTAAATCATGCAGTCATAAGCATAGAGCTTAACTTTAACGGGTACATTCAGAACTATATCATTAATAAATATGAAGAAGAACAACGGCCCCAGTATGGACCCTTGTGGAATGCCCGACTTGATAGATACTGGAATACCATTGATCGCCAGTATTTTCCCCAACTTTGCATTGCTTAGACATTTATTCAAGGTAAAAAAAAAAGATTATTTCAATTGTCCCACAATTATATTTTTTTAAAGGTATTGGAGCACTGCCGGAGAAAAGGCATTCTTATTGCTGGAAAGGGTGAACGAAGGGAAGTGGGGAACTTCATTGCGATGTCTGGGGCCATTTCTCACCGTATAGTTCAAGCAGCCATTCTTTTAAATGTAGTGTTTCGTTTAGGAAGAAAGTGTTTTAACTTGAGTAAGTAACGAAAAAAAAGGGGGACTGATTAAGTTAATCTTTTTATGCCTGACGTAACCATCTTGATTTTATTTTTTCTGCAGCTCTCAGTGAATGATGTGGATTGTGCGACGGTGCGTCTCAACGATAATCTGAAAGACGCCTACTTCACCACTACTGAAGGTGTTGAGGTGAAAGCTACGCATCAACCAAGCAGACTGGTAAGTCTAGCTTACTATAGTATGTCAGGCGTTTGCTTTTCGTTTTGACAATTCGCACCTCACGCTACCCATCTGTTCTGAAATTTGCCCAAAGCCTACTCTGACTGTCTTTAAGAAGCTGCTGTTTATTCTTGTTATAACAAGCAGAGAGAATATGACATGCTCAGATTACGTACTCAAAGGCTTATATGATAGACTATTTTCTTAAGCGGCACTTTTCATATTGTACCAAATACTAAATTCACAGATGATGTCATACTTCGTGTTCAATATGGCATAGTCCTGTGTGCATGAAATAACGAGACCAATCGTATAGATCTTTTTTGTCATGGTTATGAAAAGGCATCTCTCCCTTCCCCCCTTCGCATCCAACCCTCAATGTAAGTGTGCGTGTGTATAATATATAACAGGTCCCACACTCACCCTACCTACAGCGGGCCAAAGTGACGAAATTTAGTCTTACGAGTGCCAGGACAGCGTAGAGGGGTGGGGGGTCAAGTGGAGGGAGGGAGGCGCGGAATGAGTTTAAACGAAATGTCACTTAACGCTGCCATTTGAAAGAATGCCTTTCTCTTATCACATGTGCGGGTCATTTACAACGGGGATTGGACGTCAGGTTTCGAAAAACATATCGGCATACTGATTTACAAAGCTAAACTCTGGATGCCGCTTTGGAAATATAGTTGTTGCTCCCCAGTTGCAGAGCACCTTATACGAAAAAAAAAAAAGATAGAAAAAGGATTGAAACCAGTCACGCGTCTCTGCTGTCTACTCGAACAAAGTACTGTTAATTGGAATAGGCGAGAAAAGACCCCTTCATAATGGTAAAGGTAGATTTTGCTGCTGCGCAGTTTGCCCAACAAATGTAGGCTAGTCACTCACTTCAAAGAGCGTAGCTTATGAGCCATTTGCCTGCAATATTACATTGAAAATTTTGTCTCTCTTGGCATAAACGCGCATAATATACACGTCCCAGCACGTTTTACAAGGACCTCACCTCAACTTGAAGCACGGCAGGGGCCACCATTAGTTGGGCTAATTATTATGCAGCGCAGGCAAGTGTCCTTGCGGATTATGTAAACGGTCTTCAGACAGACAGACAGACAGACAGACAGACAGACAGACAGACAGACAGACAGACAGACAGACAGACAGACAGACAGACAGACAGACAGACAGACAGACAGATAGATAGATAGATAGATAGATAGATAGATAGATAGATAGATAGATAGACAGACAGACAGACAGACAGACAGACAGACAGACAGACAGATAGATAGATAGATAGATAGATAGATAGATAGATAGATAGATAGATAGATAGATAGATAGATAGATAGATAGATAGATAGATAGATAGATAGATAGACAGATAGATAGATAGATAGATAGATAGATAGATAGATAGATAGATAGATAGATAGATAATAGATAGATAAATAGATAGATAATAGATAGATAGATAGATAGATAGATAGATAGATAGATAGATAGATAGATAGATAGATAGATAGATAGATAGATAGATAGATAGATAGATAGATAGATAGATAGATAGATAGATAGATAGATAGATAGATAGATAGATAGATAGATAGATAGATAGATAGATAGATAGATAGATAGATAGATAGATAGATAGATAGATAGATAGATAGATAGATAGATAGATAGATAGATAGATAGATAGATAGATAGATAGATAGATAGATAGCCCGGTGTAGTCACACAGAGGACCCCTGGCTTGCTGTCGGCAAATTCCATGTTGGAGCCGGGAGGCTATATCTCTCCGCTCTCACGGGTCCTCGGGACTGCCTTGGACTGATCTTCCAAATTGGAGCTCGCGATGGCATTGTCCCATTCCTCTCCGTTGTAACACAGCCTTTAAGCAAATAAATACACCTAAAGGCCAACTCCGGTGATTTTCCGAGGTCAATGGATCTCAATGAAAGTCACTCGGTACATTCATTGGCACATCTGCGTCATTCATGCCAAATTGCAGGCTTGAGACTTTCGCAGATTCTTTTCAAGTAAATTTTATAGCTTGCATTGAAACGCTCACCTCGCTTGCCACAATTAATGGCAACATTGTCTGTGTGACGTTCATTTTTTCAAAGCCGAAGTGACGGAACTGATGTGCCACCGCAGCGTCTCCTTGTGTGCTATGGATTGTGTGGGTTTGGCCCGCGCTTCCTTGGTTGTGCGAGTGATTTTCTTTTCCGTGTTGGTGGGCGTGGGATAGGTGGCAAGTGGTGTTGCGTTGTGGGCTGCCCACAATTCGCTATATATTCACCATAACAGCGGAAGCGTTTTAGCCAATCGCCGCAGGCACAAATTTGGACAATGTCGGCAGGTAGGGCTATCTGGCAACGTTATGCGCAACCAAGCAGGTTCGGGCAAATAATTACATCATACGTTGAAGCGCACTTGGTCGGGTTTCGGTTTCGGTATTGTGGTTTTTCGCTTACTTATTTTCGAATTTGTGGAGTATTTCAGCTATTGGGCGCGCGAAAAGAGTGCCCCAGGAACATAAAGGCACCATTATCCTGACGTAGTCAAAGTACCACCTGAGTTGGCCTCTAAGCAAAGACACAAAACTTTATTCCCTGTGTAGCCGCTGGTCGCAAGCAGTCCTCGGCACGGCAGGCCTGTAGGCAGGAATTTTTTTCGAGGGGTGATGAGACTTGCTGAAGGCTTGGCAAAAGCTTGGTTATTGGCAAAAAGTTTGCTAGGCAGAAACACTATTTCCGGTAACACTTTCCTGCATAAAAACTTTAAGGGTGGGGGAGAAGTGGATTTAGGTTATTCCCCCTGGCTACAGGCCTGGTCAATGGGCTGAATTCGGACCGCGGACCACATGTTTGAGACCGCCGGTACAATCATATTCAGCACTGCTCAAAATTAAAAGAAAATTACTGCTTGATATTATCCATATTGCAGGCAAGACCCTACAAGGCGAAGATCGAACCACCCCTTGATGTCGGGGACAGAATTGTTCTATTCGGCATGTTCAAGGACGAGAAAAAGTCCGCCCACAAGTAAGTAAAATAAAATGGCCACATTCAAGTCACGGGTGGTAGCTTACTGACGCCCTCGGACACAAAACGACTCGATCGAAGAGTTCTGTTGGGTATACGAAATGAAGCTGAAAGAATAACCAGGAGACGCGCCACAAAGAGGGAACAAACAAAAAATTAAATGAAATAAAATTGGCATCACGTTAGGGGGCCTAACCTGAAGGAATCACGGATCTGTACAGCCTTCTTTATTTCTCTTCGATTTTATTAAATGCGAACCATTTCTTAGCGAACTTCGGCGACTTTGGGCCTATCTATCCATCTATCCATCTATCCATCTATCCATCTATCTATCTATCTATCTATCTATCCATCTATCTATCTATCTATCTATCTATCTATCTATCTATCTATCTATCTGTCTATCTGTCTGTCTGTCTGTCTGTCTGTCTGTCTGTCTGTCTGTCTGTCTGTCTGTCTATCTGTCTGTCTGTCTGTCTGTCTGTCTGTCTGTCTGTCTGTCTGTCTGTCTGTCTGTCTGTCTGTCTGTCTGTCTGTCTGTCTGTCCTATCTATCTATCTATCTATCTATCTATCTATCTATCTATCTATCTATCTATCTATCTATCTATCTATCTATCTATCTATCTAGCCGCCTACGACATTTCGCTCTCCTGGTCGTTTCGATAATGGCATCGACACTAAACTTGGTATTGCATAACATGACTGTATGAAGAACATATTTGACTAGCCATAACATGAAAATCATGTCATGTATGTCATGAATGTCATGATATACATTTCATGGTCCTGCAGCTCTTGCGGTGGTTTCGTTCACGTAGCATGTTGCAAAACTGGTACGGTATGACATGATTGCATGGCGAACACAAGTGACAGTCCCTGATATGAAAATAATGACATGCGTGTCATGTAACAACATGACTACAAGTCACGCTCATGATACGCTCGCGGCTGCTTCGCTAGCGTCACATATACCAAATTGGGTATTACAGGACGCGAATGGACGACGAAGGTGTGTGCCTGGTGCAAACATGATAATCATGAGATGCGTGTCATGTAACAACATGGCTGCATGCTACGCCCATGATGCGCTAGCGGCCGTTTCACTAGCTTCACATGTACAAAACTCGGTATTACGCGACGCTAACGGACGACATAGGTAATTGACACATCCGAACATGATAATCAAGACATGCGTGTCATATAACAACATGGCTACATGCCACACTGATGATGCACTCACGGACGTTTCGCTAGCTTCACATATGCCAAATTTGGTATTACGTGACGCCAATAGATGACGAAGGTATGCGGCTGGTGCAAACATGATAACCATGAGATGCGTGTCATGTGAGAACATGACTACCCGCCACAGTCAAGGTGCCAATACGTTTCGACGTGACGTGGTAAGCGTGCTCGCTGGCGTTCATTTTGTCGTGTCACGCCGGCGTTGCCACGCCAGGCGCCGGTCCTGCCATATACTCGCAGGCGCGCGCCGCGCTGCGTTGCTTTGACGCATACGAGTTTCAGCGCGTCTGGCGTCCCTCTGTCACGAAAAGAGGAAGACACAGTGTTCTCTGAATAACGCATCAATGCGAAATGCAACATGTAGCATTTCGCGCTGGTTGCCGCCGGGCCGCGCCGACGGACGCTGGTCGCGCCTGGCGTCAGACTATCGAGTGCTCGCGTTTTGCTGACGTAACGTCGCTGTGCCCAGCGTGCGCGCGCGTCAACGCTACATTAGAGTATATTGGGCCCCTCATGATGCGCTCGCGGCCGTTTTGCTAGCTCCACATGTACCAAATTTGGTGTTACGTGACGTCAATAGATTACGAAATATATGAATGATGCAAACATGATAATCCAGACACGCGTATCATGTAAGAACATGACAACATAACACGCTCATAGCGTGTTCGCGACCGTTTCGCCAGCTCCACATATACTAAATTTGGTATCACGGGACGTAAATAGATGACGAAAGTAAACGAAACATCCAAACATGATAATAATGACACGGAATTCATGTACGGCATCGTTTACTTCCACCTCGTAACGTTGTGCCGATTAAAGTGACATATCAACATTTTTCATTCGTGCTTCGCATATCATCGATTCCCACTGTACGTAAGATCTGCCAATTTTTTTTTCTTTCCTCCTGTCACTTTTTTCTATTTTCCGCTTTTCTATCCTTTTTTTGCCTTTATTTCTTTCTCCTATTTTTCTTCCTATTTTTTTTCTTTTCTCTCTCTTTCTGTGTTGTGCTTGCTTCGTCATTTCTTTCTGTTTTTATATATGCTTTTGCATTCGTAACACAAAGCAGTTACAACATAGGACAAGCTGGCCCCCAATGTCCTCCACATTCGCAATTAATAACATATGGTGTTCAGGGCCGTCACCAAGGAGGAGTTCTAACTTCTCTTCGAAATCTTTCAATTTCGCTTGCATATATATACGCTCACACGCACAAATGCACGCACGATCCCATAAAGTACGGCTGAACCACCCCCTCCCCCTCGACCTAAAGAGAAATAAAACTGGCCAGGACTGAAAGCTGGGCTAGTTCGCATAAGTCGGCAGAAAAATTGCACCTCACTCACTCACTCACTCTCAAGAGATATATAATTTTCCCTCGGAGCTCATTCCGACTCAGACTCGCCAAAATTTTCCTCGACCGGACTCCCTCGCACTCCGGCTTACTAAGCCTTTTCTCATTCGGACTCGCGCTCACCGACATATCACTCAGCTCAACTCAGTTAGACTCAGCCTCACCGCTTGACCCCAGTCTGAGCCTTAGTGAGTCGACTTATGGAGTCCGTTAGCGTAAAATTAGCCTTTTCGATCATTACGTCAACACTGTTTCACTATATTATCTCACGTAATTAGGGCTCTATACGATAGGTCTTTTGGTCTTGGAGCTTCAAATAGGTGTTATCATCAATCCAGCAACAACATGCTTATGGAACAAATAAACACCTTTCGTGTAGCCATGTTTTTGCCGGAAGCGTGCGGGTGTGTAGTTGAAAGAAAAAAAGGCTTTGCTGACGGTCGTACCCCCTTGATTCTAACAATTTTTAGCACGTTTTTCCCAGGGCCTTTACCGTACATCGTGCGGTACACCGGCTCAGGTAGCATTACGCCAATAAGGCCCTTATACAGTTCTCTATTTGTGATCGCGCTTAGATAGTGTGAAGAAAAACGTACCTTTAGTATATTGAAAGCAGGCACAACTTCAGATAAGGTCCTTATATAGTTGTGTTTTTGTCACCGCACTCAGATACTGTAAAGAAAAGCGTACCTTTAGTATATATTGAAAGCAGACAACTTCGCGCAGATAACCATTATATCAGGTGCGCCCAGCACAACAGCAAGATACTCTAAAGAAAAGCGTACCTTTAGTATATATTGAAAGCAGACAACTTCGCGCAGATAACCATTAATTCCGGTGCGCCCAGCACAACAGCAAGATACTGTAAAGAAAAGCGTACCTTTAGTATATATTGAAAGCAGACAACTTCGCGCAGATAACCATTAATTTCGGTGCGCCCAGCACATCAGCAAGATACAACGAATTCGGGTAGATAACAGCATAATCTAACTGGAACCATAGTACGTACGTAAGAAAAAAATACATGTGATCACGCAAAAAAAACTAACCTTGAAACTATTTGCCTGTGAAATAAGTGGGCCAATCCCAGCCCACTCGCTTTAACTGAACAGAAAATATTTGTACGGCTCGAGCGTTTTCACTTGAAGGCCCTAACAAAAGTGGCAAGAACTCGGTGTACCTTTTGTACGCTTGAACGTTTCATGTTCAGCACTTGAAGTGCTTACCAAATTTAGCCCGCTAGAAATGTATTGCAAACCGTTGACCTCGAGAATATCGAGGGGTTTTTCCCTCCCCACTTGTTCGCTTTCTCTCTGAAATTTCACGTCTTCTTTCCAATATTCAGTGCGATCACTATAGCTCTGCAATGGTACACAAGCTACTTCATCGGCACGGAGCTCCAGTTCATCTTTTAGAAAACATCAGGCTTTTCGTCCCAGGTTCCATGGCCAAAACCCGCACTCTTATCCCAATTTAAAGCACTGCCTGACCACTTGCAGTACTTATCTGCTACGCTGACTGCTTCACTAATGCTCTCTCTGTCTTTGGGGAAAAAAAAAACAGCGATATCATCTTGGACCTCAGCCGTCATTAACTGAAAACCAAGTATTCTGTCATTACTAACTATTTTCTAACAAAAGGGCTCTAAATGCATGACAAATAATAATGCAGAAATTGGACATCTTTAACGAGCACTCCTAGCAATTGGAAAGTTTCCTGTGATTTCCTTGTTGATAACAAGGCTAGCAAAGCAGTTCCTATACGACATTGTTACGCCTTCTAATATAACATTACCAATATTTACATGTTCCAATATTTAAAAAAAAAGTACTGCGTGCACAACATGGTCAAAAGCCTTTTCAAGGTCTAACTGCAACATCGCTACTTGGCTGTCCCATGTACCGCAGCGCTCACGAATGCTCCTGGCAGTGTGGATGTTGGGGCCGATTGATCGGCCCTTAATCCCACATGTTTGGTGTGGCCCTACTATTGACTTCATCACACTTGGTAGTCTCTTAGCAAGCACCTTCATAAAAACCTTATAGTTTGTGTTAGTGAGGCTTATGGGGCGATAACCGCTCACTGACAAGAGCTTTACCGAGTCTACACTCTTGGGGATGAGTACAATATGTGACCTTCGAAAGGACGGCGGCATTTCCTTTACTTCATAAGCCTCTGCACCGAGGCGACAAAGTACATCCGACAGCTCATGCTTTGAATGTTTTGTAAAAGGCTGCACCAAGTCCATCTGGACCGGGCGTTTTTCCTTCAGTCAAGTCGTCGATGGCCTTTTCTATTTCTTCTACTGAAATTGACTCCTCCGGGCGTTGGGTAGTTTCTTTTGTCTAATGTAGGCATTATTGACAGGAACTCGCGCTCTCCAAGGCTTCTTCACTCTTACCGCTGCAGGCCAGCAATCCTTTATAATGATCGACAAACGCTTGTTTCTTTGTTTGTTTGTTCGTGGTGATCACTTCCCCATATTTTATGCGTTTTATTTCATTACGCGAGGCATAGCGCTTTTCTTCGCACAGTGAGCGTTTCGTTGGTGTTTCGCGCATACAAAGGCGCTCTGCGCGTATAACTACTCCTCTGTATTTTTCAGTGTCCATTTTCTCGAGCTGGTTTGTTACTTCCCTTATCTCTTTAGCTAAAGTGCCCGGTCGCGTGCTTTCAAGTGACAACAAGAGTTCAAGCTGGCCCTGTAGTACCTTTTCCTTGTAGCGCACCGTGCAAGATCTTTCTATTGCAGCAATCTTAACTAACTTCTTCCTTAAACTCTTCCTATGCAACTACCAATCGCCACGACTGGGTCAAGTGTACTTTATCAATGAACATTTTAACCTTGTCCATAGAGACTTCAACGCCAAGTAATTTGTTGTTCAGTTTGCGCAACTTTCTCGAAGATATTGGTTTTTTTCTTCTTCACAGCTAGCATAAACATTAATTGATTGATTGGTTTGTGGGGTTTAACGTCCCGAAACCACCATATGATTATGAGAGATGCCGTAGTGGAGGGCTCCGGAAATTTCGAACACCTGGGGTTCTTTAACGTGCGCCAAAATCTGAGCACACGGGCCTACAGCATTTCCGCCTCCATCGGAAATGCAGCCGCCGCAGCCGGGATTCGATCCCGTGACCTGCGGGTCAGCAGCCGAGTACCTTAGCCCCTAGACCATCGCGGCGGGGCAGCATAAACATAAACATTATGGCGCTGTGGTTACTGAAGGCTACCGGTTCATGCTTGTAACTGTTACATAACGGCACAAGTGCTTCTGATACGTATATGCTCTGTCTAATCGGGAATGGCAATCGCGCTAAAAATGTGTGTCCCTAAGACCACTTCCATTTATCAGTCCATTTCCTACATCTTCCAACCCCCGAACTTGCATAGGCTCTGACCACAACAAAGCACTTTGATCACGAGTGGTTAGCCTTTTGCTCCTATGTTCGCTGAAGCATACGCCGTTAAAATCTACCAGAATTATCACATTTCTCTCACATTTTGAATATTCATCGACACGTGCAAAAAAGGATAACCGCTTATATAGTTGCACTGTTCGGTGCATATACACAAATAATGCGCCATTTCACACCAGATCCCACAAAATCACACAAAACAAGATGACGGTCGTCATCGCTAATATATGAACACATTCTTCAACTATCCCTGAGAAGTTACGCAAGAAAAGGGCACCCCCCCCCCCTGGGTACGAACAGAGTGTCAAATACAAACATTATAACGAAACCGGAAAGGTTCGACCATGCAGTCTGCTTGTCGTTCAGCTTTCGACCTTTGTTTCCTGTACGGCTACGATTTCGAGGTCATTTTCGAGAAAGAGGCGACTAACCTGATACTGCTTTCGTCTAGACCATAGACCACGTACATTTAAAGTATCGCATGTAACTCTGTTTTAGGCTGCGAAGGCCCTGTGAAAGTTGGTGCGGACTACATGGTTCTCACTTCGTCTGGTGACAACTCTGGTTTCCGCGATTGAAGTTATGGGTAGACACGAACAAGGCGTGCCCCAATCCACACGCTTCACATAATGATGAAGCCATCTTTGCCACATTTTTGGCCACCTACTGATTCGGGTCCCTTCTTGAGAGACTGCCGCTGTCGCTATAGCTTGGTGGCTTGGGCGGTGGACGCGTGCCCACCGCGACGTTCGGCTTCAACACAGAGCCGAGTTGCCTGAATTCAGGCGTTTTGGCTGCCGGCCCACTTCCAGTCGTCTTCTGTACTCCTGCGTCCTCGTTGATACTCTCCTCGAGCGGCCGTGGCGCCCATCACTTCAGGCTGGTCAGTCGACGTGGCAGTATACTTTGGTCCTCCCCGTTGCCCTTTTTGTCCCAAGGTACGTTGCCAAGGCCTTTGCTCTACTGACTAATACGACGCGTTTGCTCACCATGAGCTGCTTCGCATCCCTCGTCCTTGGGGCCCTTAGAAAGGGGCGTGACCGAACCCTGATTCTTGCTGCCGGAGACTTCTGCATCAACTTCGTCCATTGCATATTCCGCGACACGATCACCAGCCACATGCCCAGCCACACTGGCGAATGTCTGGGCACACTCGCTGTCTTCGTGCCCATAGCGTTTCCACTGGCCGCAGCGGGGTGCGCGACAGTTCCGGCGTATACGGCCCGTCCGTCGGCACCGTATACACAAAGTGGCACCCGTACTGGCACAACCAAAAGCGTTGTAATGCCAACCGCTGAGAGCTGGTGTGGCAAGTCATCGAATGTCGCGCCATTTTTCAGTTGCAGGTTGACTGTCCGGGGCGAGGTTCCTTCGTCGGCGATTCCGTGTACGCGCCATCATTTTTTGGTTACTTCAGTCAATTTCCTATAGTTTACTAGCCTGGTGCGCACATGTTCGTCTGGTACATTATAGTAGCCAATAAAGCTTTATGCTCACATCCTGTTTGTTCGGGTCGATGACGTGGCAGCGCTTTTCCTTCATCTATGCGTCACCAAGCGCTAACATGTTCTTCGTTGATTGCGCCTATACTGAAAGTCACCGCCCAAATGTGATTCATTTGGAATGCGCCCAAGGCAATTACCTCAGACAGCATACCCAGGCGGACTAAATCTTCGCGTATATCTGCAGCACGATAACGCATTGTCTTGATATCTCTATGTAGAAAAACAGTATTCTGACTCATGAGCACGACTTCGTAATCCTGGGAAATGTCACACTCCACCTCGTAAAGTGTGACAAAACCTAAAAAAAAAATAGAATTCGTGAAGGCCCTGATCATTTATAGTTCGAAATTGGGCTGACAGCGGAATTCGAACCACTGACCTTCCGGTTACGGAACGAACACTTTACCTCTCAGCCACTGCCAGATTTTTTTTCTTTATTAGTCTCAGCCACTGCCAGATGGTGATGGTCAACCTGCAATGTTAGGCTGACCTTCGTGTTTTAGATCTTTCAAACTGATAACGGCGTGTTACCTTCAACGAAACTCGAAAAGGCTCACCTGAAATGGTTCATGTTCATGTTGGTGGCCACTGAATTCAGTTGACTTTTTCGAGTTTCATTGAAGGTCGTCCGTGATTATTAGTTTGGAAGATCTAGAAGACGAAGATCAGACTAGAATTGTAGGCTGATTATCGGCTGAAAGGTAAAGTTCTTGTGAAAGTGTTCGTTTCATGACCGGGAGGTCAGTGGTTAAAATCCCGTTGTCGGCCCCATTTCGAATTATAAATCGTTAGGGTCTTCCCAAATTTTATTTTTCGAGGTTTTATCACACTCCACCTCGTGGCAATTTGGCATGGGAACCCCGGACCTCCAGGTCCCATTCCGCCTAGTTATAGGGCCCACCTAGTTACACTCCACAAGTCCCACTGTCTTCATCATTTCCTTACATCAATCGGGAAGCACTCCACCTTGTGGAGTGCCCACCGAGTTATCTCTCCCTGATTAGCTTCCAGTGCTTTTATCGTGACGAAAGAAGAGAGAATGTATAAGCGCAGCATGCCACAAATATCTTTGTAACTCCTCTCGAACTGGACGGTTTCTAGAAATCTTTGCGGTGGTGAATTCATGAGACAATATGCTTATTTAGTGAATCAATTCCATTGCTACTTAAAAAAGCGTTGCAGGGCCCCTTCAAGTATCGCCGGGCACAATACTGTGTTGGTGTATAGGCATAAGAGCCAGCGCTCGCCAGCCGTACCAGGCGCCGGAGGTGGAAATCAGAGCCTGTTTGCTTTGTACATCGCTGTGATGTCGCGAAATGAGGGGACCGGATTTGGTTCTGCATCGTCAGGAGATGGAGGGCAAGGAAGTTTTCGGGAATCAGGCGCGCGAGCCGATGCATGGGCAGCCTCGTTACCGTCTATATATAGACCTCCGTGAGCTGGCGTCCAGATGACTAAACGTGTATTTGGTTGGTCCAGATAATAACAACCTTTCAGGATTGGAGCAGCGCGAATGGTGATGAGATCTTTCGTAATATTTTTTTTGTGAATCGGTAATAATGATCCAAGATGCGGGGTCCACTGCGGCGAGAGCTATCGCGATGTTTCTCCGCGTGAGTGATGTCCGGGGAGGCGTGCACAAATACGCGAACACGTAGAAAATGCAGCGAACTGCGCAGTTATTATGTCAGAAGTGTATAGACTATGAGACACAAGAAAAATCTGTTTATTCCAATTGCTCTGGCCGGCCTATTCCGAAACGCAAGTGCTATGCTGTTCGACTGATCACCAGTCACAAATTGCTGATAAACTCAAAGTTTGGTCTCAGAGTGGTCTCTAAACTATGGTGCCGACTGTACTGGCCAGTTATGTTAACAGTGCGAAACAGTGCATTCATGAACCTTGTTCTTGTTTTAGGAAGTTGCTCAGCCTTGGCGAAACCGTGGTCCCATGGCCGGACGAGGTTAAGTACGACAAGCAGACGCGCCTTGTGATCCAGAGATTCAAGACCCAGCTCGTAGTGTACAACGACACCAAGCCCATCTACTCGTCACGAAAAGTTGACCGTGAACACCTGTATGGCGATTTCGAGGTCAACCGTGCTTTTTCTGTGGACGGGCTCTGGATTGTAAGTATGCCGAACTCGCCGACCAAACCGTGTCGCTGACGAATGAACAAGAAAGAAAGGCCTGCTTGTGTAACGCACCGGGGCTAAACTCAGACACGGTACATAAAGATTCGCGTGGGAGAAAACTTGGGACTTCTGCTAGATGCTATTATATAAAGCTGACCATTCTTGACATACAGCAAACGGTAGTCTCAAGTTCAGCATTGAGTGTCCCATGTGCATTTCGGCTAATTCCATATTGCGTCTGTTGATTAATCAAATATCTGACCAATATAATTACTTGGTTAGTTGATTTGTGTTTTAGCTAATAGACGAAAATGATAAGAAACACAGGCATGCGCAGGGTTCCATATGGCAAGGTAGGGGAGAGGCAAAGCTTCCAGGCAGCTTGCTACCGACTCCCCCACCCCCCACACCTGTTGTCGTTCGAGCCTAAAAGACTTCAAAATGGATGACAAAAAAAAAAACGCATATGAGGCGATGACGTGCTCCTCACAATGGCAAGACTATGGTCTCGGGCATTCCTGAACTACGGCGGGGAAGTTAACTCTTCTTGAAAAGCAATATTCGGAGTATTTGGCCACCATTACCATCAAAAACCTGCATAAACAATGGCCTCACAGTTCTGACTGAGTAAAAACTATGGGGCCGTCCCTCCAACATTGTGTGCATCAGCATATTTCAGTTAACGCCACACTTCCGTTCTCCATTCTCAAGCTGCTGTGTTCACGCCATAAGAGGTCACCAACCCTGAATTTTTCCAGGTGTCCTAGTCTAACTCAGCCGAATATTGTTTAATAAAACCTATAAGAATGTTGAAGCTGCATAATATTAAAGGTAGTCGTGTTTATGAACATTCAGTACTTTTTCATCACCAAGTAAAAGCTACCTAATAAGTTATGTTTAGTTATCCCACTTTTTATTTATCACCTGAATTGGTAAAATGCCAAGCTTAAGTCGTACGCCGCCTCAAATAACCTCGAAAACAAGCATTTTTTTAATGCTGAAATCCACCTGTTTGTTTTCTTCAAAAAAAAAAGGCCTGTGAAACACGGCAAATATAAATAGGATGCAAGCTCACGTGCTGTTGCTCAAGTATTCCCAAACAGGGGTGTACACCTTTTCTGATCATCACGGAAACTAAAAATATAAAGACATGCGCTCCAAATTTTCCATGCCCCATACTTTGCGCTATGAACTAAGAAGCACAAGCATAAAATTCATGACATGGTAAAATAAACACATCACTTCAAAATTATAAGAACTCTAAAGCACGCCTCTAGTCAACCACGATCAGATTAAATTAATGCCTAATGTTGTTTCAGCATATAATCCATATTACAACGAGATATACTTTTTTGAGTTAGTTGTATTGTTGCTAATGCCACATCTCTCTTTCAGGAACGGCTGAAGCTTCCTTGAGACACTCTTACAGGTTGACGGTGGCCATAGAAACAGGAGTCACTTTTTTTTTTTGCTTTTTCACTTCTTTTTTCTCTTCCTTTCTCACTGACTTGGTTGTGGGAAATGTCTGGTACCTTCCTCTCATCTCTCTGAATTTTTTTCTTTTTTTGGTGTTCAGCAAATAAATGGAGCTTTCTCCAACTTGACCAGTTTAATGAGAGGCAATATTACACAGTGGAAGACTAGCAACCTATCTTTTGCCATGGGTTTGACAAAATAAAAGCATACCTTTTTTGCACTCCGATAAGCTCGGTGCAAATGAGGGTCCCTGAAAAATTTGCACCAATAGCTGTGCAAAAAAATCTTTCCAGAGTTTTGTGGTGTTGTTTTGTTGGTTAGGTGTGCCAAACCAGCAGTTAATGAGTCAAACTTTAGAAATTCACAGCAGAAAGCAACGCACAGACTATAGGATGCTTTAGCATAGGGCCAGCCAGCTGGTGCATTTGAATGTGCAATGTACCCATAAATAAGAGTGTTCAAGCATTCCACTCCTCTCAGGAGACAGCAGTTACAATTGCAAATGAAATTACCAGTGGAGCAAGCCTCCAGGCAAAGTATTGCCAGGTGCATGAAAATTGTCATCATGCATGTAACTAGCTAGCAAAAAGCATCCATTCCTAATGAGTGCAAAAGTTCTGCACTGACCCTAAAAAGTTACTTGAATTGCTTTTTTAAAAACTGAGTTTGAAAAGTCGCGAAGATAGATTGTTGCTTGAGTCAATGTTTTGACAAGTGGTTGTGTCTTCTTACATCCCGTGTTTCAAGAATTTCTCATCTCTTTAATATTCTATTTTACTTTGAACTGCAGCCTTACCTGGACATAAAAATTTTTTCAAAAAACCCAGCAGTTTATTGAATTTAAAGTGCCTTGTGAATTCACTACGGCACCAAGTCCTCTGTCAAATAAAAGTTCACTGCTGCTTACATTAACAATGAAACACAGCTCATTCAACTTAATAAGTGATACAGCAAGTCAGAGAGATAGTTTGTGGCTCACAATTCAAAGAGAAGTAGACTGCATTTCAGACCTGGTACATGTGAAGGTTGCGAACAGCACAGTGTGTGGAGTGACAGTAAGAAAAAAGCTATTCGTGTTGATTTTTACAAGCCGCAGATGGTAGACACACTAAAAAAAAATCAGCGAGATGATGCAGAGGAACCATACAATTTCAAGGACCCCCCATTTACACACGTGCAACTCTAGTGCTTGGAACACTCATGTCAAACTTTCTAAAATCTTCCAACTTCAATGGCTGCTTCATGATTCGCTGCGCATTATGAAACTGCAACTTCAAGGCATTAACCTTCTCACGATAAAACATAAGCTTAGTTCGCGGGACTGTTATCTTGTGTTCCAAAGCGTGCACAATTTCTTTAGTCCTTTCACTAGAATGTAAACTGTTGAGAAGATGCTGGTTTAAATAGTCCAAGGGGTTTTTTAAGCTCCCCCTCTCAGTTCCGATGGTTGTAGTTGCAATGGATGGTGCAGAACGGTGCAACACCGACTTTGGTTGTGAGTAACTGTTTGAGTCATCCATGCGTGTCTCAAGTTCTGTAATAGTGTCGCTTGAAGTGCAGGGTAAAGATGTAGGGCATTCGGGTATTTTCATTGTACTAGGTGCGTCACTGGTCTCCTGATTGCAGACAGATAAGACCGAGATATTGCTGGAGGTACATTTCATGGTAGATGACATGGCATTGCAGGAACTGTACGATGCAGACACCCGACTTTCAACAGCTGTTGACACACTATGCTCTACGACAGAAGACTCTTGAGGAACATTACTGACTGTTGAATTGGCCTCAGAGTCATTTGCGTTATTCGCACAGATGCCTGTGTCGCTGCTTGGAGCACACAATTCAAAAACTTTGTCTTTCACTAGCTTTAGTTGACATCCGAATAAGGCAGTTTTGTCCAAAGGGATATTATTAACAGTTGCCACATCTGTTGCAGGAAATGAAGTGATTCTGCTTTGAGCAGGTGCTGAAGAGGACTTTTCCATAACTGCTGTAGAAGTCCTGTGCACCACATCCCTGCCCTCACGGGTGACTCTAAAAGCTGCAAGCTTGCTTGTTCTGTCTACCATAGGAGACGATGCGACATTTGTCGAGGTGCACGACTTATGCGGCATGCTTTCAACAGCTGTAGGTGGGTTGAGCACAGTGTTGTTATCTTCAGAAGCCTCACAGTCAATGTGTTCCAGAGGCTCTAATTTGATCTTGCTCGGACTGCACAACATAAATCCTTGTTTCTCACCAGCTCCAGACACGCTGGGCCCTGTGTCAATGTTCAGAGCAGGGATGCCAATTATTGCAAGCTCACCAGAACAGCCTTTTGCAGAGCACTGTGATGTGATATTTGAGGTGCTGAACAACGCTTTTTCAGCCTCCATCATTGTACGTCGCACTATGACAGTTTGCTCTTTGAGGTTACTAATCATGGTCAGCGGTCCAGCGGCACATTCATCAGCAGCCAACACGGTTCTTCCTGGAACACCGATTCCAGACACATGTCCTTCTGATTCACAATGCTCTAAATGAAAATCGGGAGTGGGCATACCAACTGTCAGCAGCTCACTCGAGCTGCACACATCGTTCACAGGGGTCACACCAGTCCTGCACAATTCAGACGTGTCATTTTCTGTCACTGACACGCGTGCAATACCAGTTGTACGAGCAGGATCAGTTTTGAGAATTTGTGAGGGATATAACACGACGCTATTTCCGGTCGTAGAAGTGCGTCCTTCATGATTCCATGACATGCCCTGCTTTACACCTACGTCCACAGTAGGAATGCCTATAATTTCCGTTTCGCCGGTGCCTTCTGTCACATGGCCCAACATGGCGTTATTTGATGTATGAGAATCGGTTTCCTTATCACCAACCTTTGTTACCACTGTGTACACTACACCAGTCTCGTTGCTAGTGACAATCGTTATTCCAGGCCCACGGCCAGACTCGAGGCCAGGTTTCAGAAGCGACGTCTGTGATGTGTCGGGTCGCACCGGTTTGCAAAGCAGTAACAATGTCACAGGTTTAGAGCTATCGAGAGGTGCCATGCCTTGTTTTGAGTTCACGGCGTTGAAGAGCCCGAAGTTCGGCATAATTCCAGAGCTTGGTGGAACCACCGAGTTCAGCAGGACGCCGGCATTCGGTTGTAACTTGGGGGCCAAAGGTCGAAGTCGTCTCTCTTGAGAGTTAATAGCAGGCTTCCGTCTAGCTGGTGGCGGTTTCTGTTGCCTAATTTGCTTCTCTCGAGCTTTAATATCAGGCTTCTGTATCTTTGGTGGTGGCTCATCCCTGTACCTTTCCGACGAACATGCCACTTGCACACTGGAAGAAGCTGCTCGGCCGCCTTCGCGTTTCTGGGCTTTGAGCGGCCGAACAGCGCCGCAATTTCGCACAACCCTCGCATCAGTAAGCGCGGCATCCAGCGCCGTGGTCCTCCTATCATTCATAGCCATAACGAAGTCTCGCGTTTCGATAAGTCTATACTTTACACCCACATCAGCACACAAAACGACCAGCGCTCAGCAAACTCGTAGAGTCATTTTGACTTGGTTCACTGCACGATCACGCAAATGGGAGTTTCCCCAGAACTTGCCTAGAGTACATTTTGCAGTGCTCCAGACTGTCTAGGTAGCTTAACGCATCCCCTGCATAGCGTACACAAACACAAACACACTCTGAACGCAGCCATGTTTTTTTTTTTTTTAGGGGGGGAGGGGGGGTCAGACTGTTGGCTTGGCTGCAGTTGGCTTTGTTTGCAATTCAGCAACGCTATTAAACTACACATTTAATATTTTTAACACCTATACGACAAAAAATTATTAAAAAGTGCAAACATATAAACATGACTCATGTATGTATTGACAGTGACTGTAATATTGTACCTGTAAAACAGATGGTAGGATGCGATTGTGCGGTCTTTCTAAAAGTTGTTTTCAGACTACTGGAAACATGGTTAATTAACAAAGGTTTTTTAGGAATGAATTAATGCAGAAAGTATCGGGCAAATTCACTTATAATCGGCCAATCCCCTCATTTGGGTACGAGCCATTTGCAGAGGAAAACAACAACAACAGCATGGAGGAAGGACAGGGAACCGTGTTGTGGACGCATCTCTAACGACACGCTTGTTGACTGTTACGTTATGGTGTACTCGTAGTTACGAGGACCCAGTGGTTGACAGAACACTTATGCGCCTTTATGACTCTCGTTGGACGTCTCGTTTCATCAAGAAGCCCAGCGTCAGTGCAGAGACAACGTAACGTGTTCATGGAGAGTGGCGTCTCTACGATGCGAAGTGATGAAAGTGAGGGGCCCACCAAAGGTTCGGGCTCGCAGCTGCCGTCTCACGAATCCGGAGCATTTGCTAAAGATAATGCGGCGAAATCGGGGATCAGTTCGGCCGAGAATGTCGTACGCCCAAAGGAGGCGGGCCCGTCCGGCTCACTTGCTTCCACCGCAAAAACTGTTCGGGAGTCCGAGACAAGTAGCACGTTGACTCCAGCGGTCGGGCCGGCTCTGCTGCCCGAACAAGTGTGCAAGGAGTTATCCTATATCTGCGTCATTCGGGCTCAAAGAGTAACCTCGACGAATTGTGCCATCGTTGCGAAAGGGGAGCACACCTACGCGAAATGCAACGACGAGCTTTTCAAGTCGACCGCGGACGCTATCGAGCGTAAGACTCTCGTTGCCTATAGGAAAGCCGAGTTATACCGCAAAGACACGCAACGCATGAGGGCCGAGATCAAGCGCAAACGAAGGCTTCTGGCTCAGTTGAACGAAATGCGGCGTAGTGTGAGTTTACCCCGTGTCGGCGCAGGAATATCCAAAAAAGGGGGATCGAAATGAAAGCTGCTTTCTCAGTAGTTGTGTTGCACGCACGCACACACACATATACATTATTTCACGATGTCATGCTGTGTAAACAAAACAACCTACCTTTATTCGCATTCCGGCGAGACTGCTCAACTGTATTTAAGAAAAAAATTTAAAAAATTCTTGGTTTGTTTATTAAATCATTTATGTTGGCTGAGAAGTCTCATCTTGTTAAGAATATCTTCATATCATTTGTGAATATGGCACGGAAAGTTGTATGTTTGTACGCACATAGCAAGGCAGTAAACCAAGACGTTTGATTTCAACTTACTTGCTCGGAAAATGCCAACGAATTCAA